AGGGAAGCTTCAGCTCTTGACTCAGTGCACTGTGAATGGAACCTCAGGAAAAGACCTTGCATCTTGAACAAGGTGGATGTGCGTAACCCCTCAGTGCATCCCCCTCTCTCCAGGAAGGATAAAGCATCCTTGAAAGATGAAGGTACAGCTGGCTGTGTGGTCTTTGCCTTTCACTCTAAGCCTGACTACGGCTCAGAGCGCATCCCCTCCACACATCACCAGCTGGCTAGAGATGCCGAGATGGAAACAAGCAGCACATCGCCAACCCAAAAAAAGCTGGAAAATTTTTAAATAGCTGGATACTCTTCTCCTGGGCTGCTACCCAACTGAGAAATGTAGTTAGAACACCCATGTCCATCTACAGTACCCAAAGTTAACAACTAAAACCATGATAGATGCAGTCAGAGCTGGAATGTATTCATTTCTAACCTAAGAGTTGCCAAATCCCTACCATAGTAAATTACCATCTGCCAACTTGTTGTATGGTTTGAAGGATAAAGTCAGCCTTTTCTAGATAGAATAGAAAGCTGAACTAAAATGTTCATTTCAGAGAGATGCAGATGGGGGAAGTAATTTCCTAACTCTGCTCCTGATGTGCAGTCTTATAGATACAAAACGAAATGGTGCCATGTTTCAAGTGCTTTGAAGGGTGAGAGGCTGCATGAACACACTAAAAAGAGAAGAAATAACAACATATTCCTTAAAGTATTGAGCTGGTGTCAATTCAACATGAAACATGGCCCTTTATCACAGATAATGCCTAACAAGGGTTTCTCTCTGCTTCATTTCAGAACCACGACCACACGTGCATTGCGTGCAGGATCATCTACCGGTCGGATGAGCACCATCCTCCCATCTTACCCCCCAAGGCAGATTTGACTATTGGGCTACACGGAGAATGGGTGAGCCAGCGCTGCGAGGTGCGACCGGAGGTCCTCTTCCTCACTCGGCACTTCATCTTCCATGACAACAACAACACCTGGGAAGGTCACTACTACCACTACTCCGACCCCATCTGCAAGCACCCCACCTTCACCATCTACGCCAAGGGACGCTACAGCCGGGGAGTGCACTCGTCCAAAGTGATGGGTGGCACGGAGTTTGTGTTCAAAGGTAGTGTGGCCTGCTACACTGGGAGTTGGAGGTGGTCACGTAGTTATGGACCAGAGCAGAGTTCACCCACAGCGATTTGGTTGCTGATGGTTTCATTCTGTTGTTTTCAAGAGTTAGTTATTTCTTGGGAAGCTCACAGGCATCGTGTGAACACCCAGCCAAACTACACAGCTGCATGGTATTTCACACTACTGAAGCAATACTCATTTGCGGCAGAGATCTTTAAGTATGGCACAAGAAAATAAGGTTTTGCATCATTAAGTCTTGGAGTCCATTGGCCAGACTTCAAGCATCTAAGCAAAGTTTCTAAGATTAGATCTGTGTCCTAGGGCTCCTTCAGTACAGAGGAAAAAAGCACCTTCAGAAGGCATTTCAGGTCAGAAGCGGTATAAATAACTTTCTGCCAAAGACAGATGTAGCAGCTTGTGTCTTTTCATCAGCTTCCAAGGGGCCCTAGAGCAAGTAAGGATGTCCCTAAAGGCAGCTCTGCTTAATCCCACCACAGTGGAGACTAGATGTATCTAACCAAAACCCCTTGAGTACTTTGGGAAGCAGTGCTCAGTGGTGACGCTACCCGAGTCCCTGCAGCTAAGGAGCCTTCCTGTGCAAACAGCCCCATCGCACCCTGGTTAGAAAGCTCAGTGGTTTTAACCACTCACACAAATAAACATCTCCAAAACACAACGTCCCGCTGTGGCACCAGCCCCAAGCGCTCTGTGGGCTCCTCTCCTTATTTCAGTTCCCATGGGAGAAGCATAAAGCTTCTTGCGTGGGCTCCAATTTAGGGAAGCGTTTAACTATAAGAAATAATTTACTAATCTGGGATTTTCATAGGAGGCAGGAGGTACCCTTGCCTCTGCTTTTGCACTTTAGGCCTGCATGGGGGCAGTTTTTGCTTGAATTTCTGGTTTGTGGTATGCCAACTTACCTTACAGATCGAAGTCACTAATTTGGTTTTGGTAAAACTTTTAGGTTCAATTTCTGTAAATTACCTTTCACACCAGCTAGGGCAAATAATGTGAACTGTAGAGCCACTGAGTCGAATGTCTGTTTATAAAACCTCGGAATAAAACTCCCAGCAAATCTTACTATTAAATGACCTGCAAGAGAGTTTGGGATTGTGGTGTGTTGGGAGGCATGAGGGCTGGTTATTTGCTTCTGCTTTGGTCAGCGCTGATCCATTCAGATCCCATTTTCTTGATACACAGTGTCAAATGCACACCAGGAAAACTATCTGTTCAGCTTCCATAGGCTCATTCAGTTTGACTTTTCAATTTTCCCAACTTATTAATCTTAGCTGAAAAATAGAACTTCATGTGCCTTAAGCTCCTTTGAAATACAGGCAACTTAGAACTGAAGAAGCTGTGGCACTTCTATATTTGATATTGCAAGCTGCAGCAACTGTTTAGATATGAGAAAAAATATCTCTGTAGTTCAGTAATGCTCTGTAATTCATGCAAAAAGGACAGATAATATAGGAAGATAGTGCAGCTGTGGTATTTTCCATGTGGAACTAATTATTTCATTAGCTTTATGGGGTAACATGTTAAAAAATGATGAAAAATACATGATAAACAGCCCTACTTATGGATTAATACAGATGGTAATAAAACATGAGTAAAGGTTTATTGTTTCCTCTTTTACCTATCTCCTAATAAAGCCAATCAGGCTTTATCTGTAAAGGATTATCTGGAATTTATGAAAAGGTCTGCGTAATCTCTGGCTGAGATACGTGGCCATCAGGTTTTCTTCAGCTGAGTTTGTGTGTGTGTGTGTGTGTGTGTGTGTGTTCTGTGCAATAAGTTATTATGTCAAAGACCTAAAATTATGCAAATAGATTTGCTGGCCACACTTGCAATATAAAAAAAAATGATTTAAGAATGAACAAGGAGAAACAATCCTGATTTCACAGGTAGACCCCAATCCACACACTGTCTTTGCTTTTGTTTTCATCCCTCCACTGACAGCTCCTCTTTCTCTCTCACAGTGAATCACATGAAGGTCACTCCCATGGATATATCCACAGCCTCTCTGCTCAATGTCTTCAACGGGAATGAGTGCGGAGCGCAGGGGTCCTGGCAAGTTGGGGTTCAACAAGACGTCACCCACACAAACGGCTGCATCGCGCTCGGCATCCGCCTACCTCACACTGAGTATGAAATCTTCAAAATGGAGCAGGACGCCCGGGGCAGGTATTTGCTGTACAACGGCCAGAGACCGAGCGATGGGTCCAGCCCTGACCGGCCAGAGAAGAGAGCCACTTCCTACCAGATGCCTTTAATTCAGTGTGCTTCGTCAGTGCCCAGATCCGAAGAGTCACCAGAGGAGAATAAAATAAGGCCATATAACAGCAGGGCATCAGAAAAATATCCCAGCGCCCCAGCTCTTGCTTTGGTGTTGTTTATTTGTACTGTGTCATATTGGGACATTCCCAGCTAGAAGTGGAAAAAAACCCTTCCTTTTCATGACTACAAAGCCAGGATTCCACCAGACTGGGGGTTGTTTTTCTTCTGAAAGAAAGAGACATTTATTTTCTTGATGCACTTGAATGCCTGAGAACTGTTGTTCTTTTCCTTACTTCCCCCTTCCTCCTCGAAAACCAAACGGCACTCGTTTGATGTTTGTGCTTTGAACTTCATCCAGTCTGATCCCTGGCCTGACATGACTGCACAAAAGTAATTGCACTTTAGGACTGCAGACCTTAGGGGGAGGGAAGGGGTCTCCTTTTGTTTTGTTTTAACTGCTGGGGTGAACAGTATGATCCAGCTTCAGCCATCTCTGCCATCTTACTATTCTGGTATTCCTCTCCCGAGCGCTGGATTTCTCATCAGAACTTAGCTCTGGGGCAGGGCTCGGTGTCGCACCAGTACTGTGATAGCAGCTTCCCCCTCTGACTTCACAGCTCTGATGTAGATACGTATATAAGGAGGAAACCCACAAAGATGTACCTTTATCTCACAGACCCTAACACAAAATGAAACAGCAAATCAATAGCCCTCCGTTCAGATAGTGCTAAATGGTTGATACCTCTACTTTAAAAAGTATTCCAAATAATTTAAGCTATTTTTACAAACATTATGTTGTAAAAATAACCAGTCGTTTAATACCTTCTCATTCAATTTCCTTAGCTATGTAACTGCTTTGAGGCCTTCCTTTATATCTAGCGAGTAGTTACAACCAAGCCCCCTTAAAGCCAGCCAGAAACAGCATTTTTTCTGTCAGATGCCCACAGTATCAGTAAGCTGCTGATACAAGGCTGCAGGGACTTCTCCTGTTTTCGCATTCCTGAGGCCTTACATACTCCACGTTCAGTATTTGTGCCTTGGATTTTATGTCAGCCAGATGGACAAAATAAAGAGGCAAGTGGAGTCTAACATGTTCTGCAGCCCTGTTTAGCAGCGTATTTTTAGTGAGGTGACCTCATGTAGGAACAAGTGAAGGGTTTCAGCAGCAAGCACACCACAGCCCCTAGCAGAGCTTGAAAGCATGCAGGAACAGACCCACATCCATCCAAGAGGGAGAGACTAGACTGGTCCTAACAGAGGGAGGAGCAAGGGCTGCACAACTGCAGCTGCACCCTCCCTTTTCTCCTTGCAGGACTGCCCCAGCACGTACCATGGCTTCATCGAGTTTAAATCAGCATTGGTTTGGGGAGACACTGCTGGGAAGGTGGATAGGCACAGCCCCATAGAGCATCCTTCAACAGGAGCCTACCCTTGAAACCTTCAGGTTTCTTTCCCCCAGTGGCAAATGCATCCTTGTGTGCACTGATGCTAACCAGAGCAGACTCTGGAGAGAGTAGGGGAGATATTTATGGCCAGCAAGGAGATACAAGTTCATAGGTAGCTTTAATGGGAAGCAAGTTGAGGCTACAGCTTAACCTTGTGGCATTTGGGCTGTGACTTTTACTGATATATGTATGTTTTGGCTCACAGGAGAGCAGCAAGAAACATAAGGAGTAAGGTCATAGTGTTTCTTCATCAGTATCAGCACCTTCCAGCTGCCCAGTCCAGTACTATGGGAGGAAAAAAAACCCTTAATATGTTATTTTCAGCATCATAGGAAAAGTATGTCTTGAACGACAGTCTTTCAGCTTTACACAGGTGAGTCTCCATACTGTCTGTTATAGCAAAAGTGTTATTTGAAAACAGTGACAGTGTGAATCTTGCTAGCAAAAACAGCAGGAAAACGCCATTCAAGCAGTAAACGGCTATGCTCAAGTTCTCTACCTCCTCAAAGTCCGTGCCTTCTTGATGGTTTTTCCAAGCTGGTATCAGTCTTGGACATCAGTTTCCTCATATTCACCTGGTTTTGAGACAGCAGGAGGAAGGGGTGAAGAAACAGTGTCATAGACCCATTGCTAGGTCAGATCACATCTTTTCCTCAGATGAAAAGTCACATAAAAGTCACTATGAGTCAGGAATAGAGCTCAGGATGGCTCAGTAGTCACGAGAAGTGTTCATCCATCCATCTGTTATCAGATACTTCTTCAGCCTGCTGGAAGGAGCTGAAAGCCAACTCCCCATCATGAATCAAGCCCTATGAACAACAGCTCTTCTGATCAGCATTTATTAGTGGTTTTCTGCTCAACACAGTTAAAAACTACTTGAAGGGTCAGTTCTGGTTCAGTTGCTGGTAGGGAGGCATCAGGAGCACAGTTTTAACTAGAGAGTCAATGAGATACGATGCCTAGGAACCAGGAGGGGGTTTCATTTTCTCTAGCTAGATTTCAGTTTTCTATTCAGCAGACTTACATCAGCATATCTCCAACTGAGTAACTGAACTATTACAAGATAGTTAAAGCCCTTTCAAATACTAGCTTTGTTTCTGACTTCTGTTGAGACATAGTGGCATAAGAACACTCATGTTAGTTGTTATTTAGGAGGATGAGTATGGCGTGATGTTCCTCAGGTCACCACGAGACGAGCTTCTTCAACCACCATAGACCATTTCCACATTGGGTGGTCTCATCTCTGGAAAAAATATCAATGGCAAGGAGTTGTCAGACCCTGCTCCTTCCCTATGCAAGTGCCACAAACAACTCAGTCCCAGCCGAAATCTGCACATGCTTGTGATGTAGGGTTGAAACCAAGAGTAAAGAACTGCTCCACAGCACAATGTCCTATACCCATCACAGCAACAATCTACAGTTTCCTTTAATGCTTTGTGGCTCCTCTGTAAATTGCTTAATGACTGAAATATTACAGCAGTTTCAAGAGAAAGACCTGTCTAGGTCTTACTTCTAAAAAGCACATTCACATCTCCACTTTGTTTTAAATTACAGACTTGCAAAGATCAATGTTTTCCAAAGCTTACTGCTACACTAAATGCAAAATGACACAATGCACAAATTGTACAAGAACTGGGTTTTTTTTTTCCTGTCACCTAAAGATAGTAAAAAAGGAAGCACTTGAAAAAGCCCTTCATAAAGCATTGCCAGGAATCTTATTTGGGGCTCCTTTAGTTTATTTGTAGGGTTGACCAGAAACAACACTTTACGATCTGGGTTCTTAGCATATGCTGCACCAGCATCCCTCCTTATGCCTATCTATTTTTTCTTTACTTTTCTATTAGCCAATAGAAGCCAAGTTGGATGAAGATGTAAGTCTTCAGAGCACACAGTTTATTTGGCAATCCACGTTCTCTGCAAGGCTTCTCCTAGGCTACAGGCACAGAACTAGGAACTTCCCTGATCATTTGGTTTCATCACACACTAAATTAACTGCTGCACAGCCCCACATACATTTGTGACACAATCTATTCCACTCATTTTATTTCTCCAACCTGACCTCATGTGCTGGCAGCCCGGGCTGCTAAAGAAGTTAAGCCACAAGTGGTTTAGCTGTGGAAGACCTACAGACTGAGTGATTTGTCCCATACCAAACTGCAGACACTTTTTTTTTTTTTTTAAGTTATTGATGTTGGTATCTTCAGTAACAGCCAATGTTGTGAGGACAGGTGAAAGTTTCCCCCTCAGTAATATCCAACTCAAGGAGCCACCTGACAGAAGAAACTATGGCCTGAAGAAGTTCTTTAGCAAACTGCTTTAACACGTTTTATTTGAAAAAAAGGAAAAAAGGGATCAGAAAGATCAAAACAAGTGTTCTTAACTCTGTTTCTGTACCGTTTACATATTGTGCCTGCTGCCCTGGGGTAGAATGTCATTTTTATGAACAGAAGTCCATATTTTACGATATAATGTCTGTCTTGCTTGAGTTGGAGTGTGCTTGCTTAAAGTGCAGGATTTAAAAAAAAAAAACTTTTTATTTTTGTAAAGTTATAGAAGATATTTTTCTTCTCAGCTATGTTCCAGATTAAACTGCCAGGGAAGTTTAAGCACTTGTTAAACTTGATTGAAATAAAAAAGCCTAACTGAAAAATTAAGAATTTCATTGCCTCCTATGCATGCTATTTTTCTGTTCTCTTGACTTTCTACCTGTAAAAAATGATAGATGCATTGGAAAGTTATAACCAAAAATCCATCTGAGTAACCTGTGCACAGAAAAGCTCATTTCTTTCTATATACACAAGAAAATATTTTCACTTGAGAACACGTCATTAGAAACAGCTCTGATGGATACAGCTGGGATGGATTTGGGTTTCACAGCACATCTTCAAGTTCTCTGGATAAAACTGGGGCTAGAAGTGCCCAGCAAGTAACAACAGTGTTTGGCTTGCAATAAGAGCACGACCAGAGCAGCTGTGTCAGGACAAAGGGTGTGGTGCAACAGAAATAAAATATTTTTAATAAATGAGACGTAAGCAAACAAACCAGCATTACTGCTCTGCTTTTCCATCTCACTTGCTTTAAGGGTTACAACCTGGGGGGGAGGCGGGGAGAGCAGGGAGGGATTAGGAAAGACACTTTTCTTAAAGAGGAAGAAAAACCTGAAATTAACTGGGAATGGAAAGAAAACCACAGGATAATAAAAGTGTCTTTCTTCAGTGCTGTGCGGTTTCACTCCTGCCTCATTTGCACAAAGAAGGAAGAGCTGAAATTAAGCCAGTGAGACTTCCACCACCACCATCAAAAGCTTTGGAGTCGACCAATTCCTGGGTTTTCAGAAGTGACTCAGGAGATCCCTGAAAGATGAGCTTGGTTTTCAGGAAGCATGCCCTAAATTACAAGGCACTCCAAATGCAGAAGCCACAGCCTGTGAAGAAGCAGCCTCCCTTCCACATAAAGCAGTGGGTATGGATGAATTCAGGCATAAATAGATTCTACGTGGCATAGTTTACTCACTCCTGACACAACAGGAAAGGTAAGGTAATAAAACCAGCATCACTCATTCTGATATTTTTTATTATTATTTTTCTGTAATTTTCCCTTTTACTATAAGTATTTGCCAATATTTTTTCCCTTCTAGTCTTTAGTGCAATTGCTGTTAGTTTTTTAATTACTATTTGCTACCAGCAATAAATAAGGAAATGAAGAAACAAAATTTCTGCTCTGCTGCTGAATCAGGCAAAAAACAAGCAAAGCACGGCTGCAAGGAATCAAATCACGAGTACCTTCAGTAGCTAAGGAAACAGTGCTATTGGCCTGAGCAATTATTTATCATGTACCTTCTCTCCACCCCTTCTCGTCCACAAGTCTGCTCCAAGATACAGGACCAGTCCATGGGATGGATTCTAGCTATGGCTCTACCAAGCCCTGAGGACAGTAATTAATTCCTATGGGTATTCCAGTAACAGGAACTGCCCATGACTGCTGCCGCAAAGAAGGTGGACACGGCTCCCAGCATCCTTTGCCCACGGGAACCACATCAGTCTTTGTCCACTGTTATTTCCAAGACATTGGAAAATGAGAAATCAAGCTGTGCAGCATAGTACTGACTTCAATAAAGAAATTTTAAAAGTTTAGATTAAAAAGTTTACTCTTGGGGTTGTTAGGATTTAAGCAATTCTACCCAAAGAAAACGCCCAGGATCAGACCTAGGTACCTTCATCCAGAGGACAGACGCTTGCTAGACAGACACATGCATTATGAATTTAATTTTTTTTTTAACTACTGGATCATTTTTCTCTTAGTACTGAACAGTAGCCTGAAGTCTCTCCT